CAAGAAACTTTGTCAACTCGCTGTGGACTCTCTAATCTTCAGAAGAACCTGACGCAACCCTCCAGCTCACTCCTAATGAACTCATCAAAAATCTCTGTTGTCTACCGCATCCGGACTCTTGTTCAGCAACAAGCCAACGTAAGTAACCGTTTTCCAACTATTTAGATGCGTTTCTAGGTTTGGGCCCCTTTATCAAGGTGATTTATGATTCTCTGATGATTCTCATTAGGTTGTGGTGATGTGATGCTAAATACTGCCATTCTTTTGTTCTTCTCTCTCCTGACTTTCCTTCGTTCTGTATGTATGTGTTTTGCTTGTTCATGATCGCGATTATGAACATACTAAATGTGATTTTGTGATCGCGAGCATTTCCTGTGATGAATTGCTTGCTGTATTCCTCAATTGTACGTCACTTTGGATAAAAGCATCTGCTAAATGAATTAATGTAAATGTAAATATGCGTTAGGGACTTCCGGTTATGTCGGGTTGCTGAATATTGTTCCTGCAAGAAACACATTTATTGCCAGACAAGGTCATTAAACTATGTAAACGATAGCCAGGACAGGTTATAGCAGCTGTGATGGATTGGCTGCCTCCCCCTCTAATTATCATCATCACCCTGCCCCTTAATCTCCGCCCTTCACCAGGTTCATGACAGGAGTGGGTGTGTGAGAGAGGAGGGGCGCAGAAACAGTCAGGGCTGGTGGCGTCTGATGAGGCACACCTGAAATAAATGGAGCCTCATCATCACCGCTGTTAAATGCTGAGCGCACCTCTCCTCAAGAGACCAGTCTCTTCCCCTGTGCATGCATGCTGGTGTCCTCGTGGGTCCAGGAAGAGAGCGTGGAGGGACTCCCACGCTGCCAGAGATGCGAGCTGCCGCACCTGTGGTCTGAAATGGAGATGCATCCGTGACGCTAGAATGGATGACACTAGGATGCCAGGCCAATAATCCCCTCAAGCGCCGTGGGCCAGGGAAGATGAGCCGCTGTGAAGAAGCTGCTGCCCCTCGCGCCCCGGACCATAGAGACTCCGCCCCTAACCTGGACCCTTCCTTTTGGAACACTGCCCTTCCTTCATGATTCCCCAGCACAACAGCCCTTCCTTCCCCTTTGGACACTTTATTCCCCATTTTGGACATATATTGTTTATTTTCTGTTAAATAAAATCCTCTCCAAGGCCTGAGGCCACACCCACTGTTTCTGTCATTTGCTCCTTCTGCCACACAGCATCATATGGTTCACATTCAAGAGGGGTAGCTGTGCTGATACATAAATCAGTCCCATTTTATGTATTAAAACTTTTCATGATCCATCGGGTAGCTATGTTATCACTGGTAGGATGTTCAATTAATATTGTAATCTTGTGAATGTTTACGGTCTGAATACAGATGAACCAACATTTTTTCATAATCTATTATTAACCTTGTCCTCTCTTCAGGGTAACTTAATAGTTGGTGGTGACTTTAATTGTACCTTAGATCCTCATTTGGACCGGTCCACAGGTATTGACGCTTCACATTCACAGAGTAGGAATATAATTAATCAGTACAAAAAGGACCTTAATTTAAATGATATCTGGAGGTTTCAAAATCTAACAAAGAAAGAATTCTCTTGTTACTCTTTATCTTTTCATTCTTACTCCACAATAGACTATTTTCTTATTTCAAATAAGTACCAGCTTTGCCCTGGACTTCTTGCCTCTGGCTGGTTTAGCACTACATGCTTTTTTTTTTAATGCCTCACATATTAGATGATTTGCATGCATTTATTGGAACATAAGCAAGGGAAAGTGTAAAAAAAAAAAACTTCATACGTGTGTGTGTGTGTGTGTATATGTATATGTATGTGTGTATGTGTATGTATGTATATAACACACACACAGGGTAAGTGTGACGTGAGCATGGGGGCCTGGGCTTTGTACTGGGCTGGTTCCACGCTGCACGTCATGCTTTTTTAATGCATCTCACACTAGTTGACACACACATATACATCTATAACAAAATTAATAATAAATGCATCAATTATATATAGGGTAAGCATGGCATTGACGGCCAGGGGTGGGACTTTGGGCCCTGTGCCCCACAGCACCTCTCCTTGATGGCCCGTCGTAGGGTGACATAGGCTGGGGCCCAACTTATGCTGTGCTCATGGAGGGCCCAGAGGCAGCCTTTCAATATCTCACTATTTATAGCTTTATTATTATTATTGTTATTGGTGCCGTTATTATTACTACTACTACCATTATTATTATTATTACTATTTGTCCTCTTCCTGATCCTCCAACCTCCCCCCGGTTCCTGATGAATGAGTTTATTGTTATTATTGCTACTATTACTAATTAATACTATTATTTTGCTATTTGTCATCTTCCACATCCTCCAACTTTCCCCTCATTTCTGATAAATTGAGTTCATTGAGTTATATAAAACTTATAAACAAACTTAAAACAACTTAGCTTAAAAACAAAAATGGCTATAAATGTGTCTCATTAAAATGCTTAAGTATATACTTGCATCGAAACATGTGTTCCAAACATTGGACATGACATTGTAGATGAAGTCTTTGGCTCTCTGAAAGTCATCAGGTTGAATGCTACCAGAGCCGTCCAGCACAAAAGCAATCTCTGTCCCAGCATCTACAAAATATGCACAGAAATTATGGTTTCTTGTTTTTTCTTTGTTGTACAACGCCACCAGCTTGATGTAATGAAATAATTTATTTTAAAGGCTAAACAAAGATTAGTACCATCATAATCCTTAACTTTATCTTTTGTGTCACTGTCTGCCAGATTCTTTAAAAGAGTCCAAATAAGATAACAGTTTATTTCATTTTCTCTCAGGTGGGCTCACCTTGACCAATCCATCGACCTTGATAATGATTGTTGTTGTTGTTGTTGTTGACTGAGATTAAAAAGATTTAGGAAAATCAGGGTAGGATTTCATCTGTTTGAAATTCCATTTGAAATACCATTATAAATCATCCAATCTTACCTAATTCGGCATGATTCAGTTCGACTTTCCCAGTGGGATTTACCATCAGTTTGCAATCTCCATTCAAATCCTCATTTACTGACTTCTTTATGCAAATTTGGTTACACATCTTGAGAGAAAAAATAGACACAAATCTAAATATTTAGTTTTATCTTCACCAAAGTCATTCTCTTTCATATTCAACTATCATTTTCTTCAAATAAATGTTAATGGCCTATATTAATGAGAGTTTGTAGCAGATTTTATTAACTCACAAAGACAGATTCACACTGATTGAGACTTAACTAAGAGTACAGTGTTATTTTAAAAACAAGTTTTCAATGGGGAAGTGCTGTCGCTATGGTTTTGAGTGGAAATCAATGATCTCTATAAATGACTGAATTGCTCACTGCATTCTAGACTGTCATTAAGTGTTGAAGCCACAGGAAATGTTTGAGCAGCCATATTGCTATTCCCTACCGATAGAGGACATCATTTATATAGACTGTAAGAAAAAATGGATGACACTTCTCCACTTCCTTCCGCTGCAGAAAAGTGAAGCCAAAATGTCCCAGGTGACTGTCATCCTGTGCTGATGACTTGCTCATTTGGAGCCTGAGTCTCCATGATTGTGAGCTGGAGCTGCGATATCAAAGTCCCACCCAAACTCCCACAGGCCCAATTGGAAGCACACAATCATGACAATATGTGTGCCAAGTGTTTTCGCTACAATAATTTATCTTTAATTTAAAGTGGAACAAATTGCTAATTCATTTGCATTGATGTTACGCCTCGGGACACCTAACACACATGCATGTTATAAAGCGGCGCCAGAATGGTTGGGGCTATCAGGGATACAACTACGCCCAGATTGTCCTACTGGGTATGCACATCAATATTGGGTCATTTTTGTCACGCTGAACAACAACAATTAATTACTGTATTTGCATTATTGTAAGGTTTAGGGTTGGGGTAGGTGTAGATGTTAATAAAACACAATCTAATAGGTAGCAAATTTAATTTATTGATATTAATGGAAAGATTTTGCATCCCTTAAGGGCCGTAGCTGTATCCCTTCTAGACACAACCCGCCAGAATCTGAAAATTGCCAGAGATTTGATGATAGCTGCTTTGCAAATGCTTGTGTGGCAAGTTACTTGTGATTTTAAAAATGTCCAAAAAAAGAAATTTGACCTGGAAGGTATTTGTTCTGAGACTAACACCCACCGGTGTGTTTAATCACAACCAGTGGCTGTGGTAAAAGTGTGTGATATTAAATGACACTATGATACGCGCTGGACAGGCTAGGATGGAAAAAATAAATGAGCTAGGGGTGTGCCATATTTATCATTTACTATAATAAAGTAATTGTTGTTTTAACAATGTGTGAGCTGACATTATGTAACTTACTTTGCAAAAAACAAAAACATATCCTGAGAGTTTTACTGCTGAATGAAAGCTATTAGAATGCAGTTATAATATAATTCGAAATAAGGAGGCAAAAATGCCCTGTAAGAGTTCTTGTTTTTATATTTATGTCCTGATATAGTTTTATCTCAGTGTTGATTTCCCGAATATCAGCGTGATCGCAAATGCATTGATTTTATACAACAGTGCAACAAACAAGTAACAAATATTAGTATTAAATTAATTACATTTTGGTCACAGTGTTCTCTATTTTTGCGTATTTGACTATTCAAGCATGAAAGAGATCTGTTTTTGCGATCACATGCTGAGAGAGGGGCTTTCAGTGCGCGCGCTTCGGCTGTGTGTCAGTCAGCGCGAGCAGCGGATTGAGTTCTTTTTCACTGCTTATTGCACTTAATAACCATCAAGTGCGTCCCACTCTTTATTTTCTCATTCATGCATATTTCCTTGTCACTCCAAGGTGTATATAACTTTTAAGAAGTACTATGTTACACAGATATATTTGCATACCGCGGAATACACGATATAGCAAAATCTCTAATGATAAGACATTTTATTCCACGGTAACGGTATATACCGTCAAGTTGGGTTCTAAAAACCATAGAATGAGGTTACTCACTCCAGTTCGCTTGCAGGCCACCTCACTTCAGAGGTATTATTCAATCTTCAATACGGGGCAACGATGCCCATGTTCTCTGGTCAGAAGTGCAAAGTCGGCTTGCAAAAGGAGCCATGGAAACGGTTCCTCTAACGAACAGCGAGTCAGGCTTTTCATTACTTCCTCACTCCCAAGAAAGATGCCAGGCTCAGGCCCATCCTCGATCTCAAGCATCTGAACCACTCGCTTATGAAATGGCCATTCAAGATGCTGACTTTGAAACAGATCCTCGCACAAATATGCCCCTGGGAGTGGTTTTTATCAGTGAATCTGAAAGACGCTTACTATCGCATCCAGATAGCCCCTTATCACAGAGCGTTCTTGAGAATCGTGTTCGAGGGGGTGCCTCTGCCTCTGAGGCAGATGGGAATCCGCATCTTGAATTACTTCGACGATTGGAGTGACGATTCGTCCTATAGGAGTGAGATATAGCATGGCGCTATTGGATGCGTTCCCCATTAGCATGTAACACAACAGGAGAAAACATTCGAAAGGGAATGCTCTTGTTACTAATGTAACCTCGGTTCCTTGAGATAAGGGAACAAGCATTGTGTAAGCTGCCATGCTATAAGGCTGCACCGCGGCATTTCGGCACTCAGAGCAGCTTTTTGTGTGCTTCGGAGGCCACTCTAAAGGGTCGCTGGTTATCTCGCTGGATAGTGGATGCTATAGTCCTGGCATATGCCTCACAGGCTTACAGTGTCCTATAGGAGTGAGAGCCCACTCCAGTAGGGGAATGGCCTCCATCTGGGCTTGGTCCAGCGGGATTTCTATTGGGGATATCTGTGCGGCCGCCAACTGATTGTCTGCATCACTAGGTTTTATAATTTGGACGTCCCTGCCTTGCAGGCATGGATTTTGTCCACTTAAGTTAACCTAATCCCCTCTGTAAGTGGAGAAGGTTTTGTTATGTAGTGCTCAGTCTTGGGTCTCATTATTAGCTCATGCTTACAGGAGCCCTCAGTACAGGTGCTCCATGGCTGGGCTCGCAGAGCGACTTTGTTCTGCACTTGTTTATAGCATGGCTCTATTGGATGCGTTCCCCATTAGCATGTAACGCAACAGGAGAGAACATTCGAAAGGGAATGCTCTTGTTACTAACGTAACCTCGGTTCCTTGAGATAAGGGAACAAGCATTGTGTAAGCTGCCATAGTATAAGGCTGCACGAGAGTCAATGACTGTCACTATCATTTGAAAAATTCTGACGAAATGGCACTCAGAGCCGACTTATATAGAAGTCAGCTCCACCCCTTTTGGTGGGTTGACGCGCCATTGGTTCGTGCAGCTACACGAACTTAAACAAATCAGACTTCAGAATCAGAGTAAACAGGAGTTTACCCCGTAATGCAATGCTTGTTCCCTTATCTCACGGAACCGAGGTTACAGTACATTAGTAACTGGAGCATTTCCTAGTCTTCTTGTAAATTATATTATAGTTTGTATGGTTAATATTAATGTAATTGCGAGCAAACTAAGGTTTAACAAAATGTAATTCGGCCACACACAAGGGGACATTTCCTCCGATCTAGCCCTAAACCTACAATGAGTTAGACACCCCTAATTTACATGGAGAGGGTGGGATTAATTACCTACTGCAGCCAGCCATTAGCCGGTGAAACGTTTTGACTTCACTTTTTAGGACGTGTGAGGTGTGAGATTCAAGTTTTCCCGGGTCTGTGCACGCAACAAGTGGGCGGGCAGTATGCTAATGTTTCATGTTGACATCAACATGAAACGGCTTGGGATTCGTTTTAAAAACGATTCATTTAAATGACTCGACTCTTTCATTTGAGAGACAATAACTTTATACACGGTGCACTTTCATATTTAAAACATTGTAGGAAAAATCCATAATAGGGGCACTTTAAATCTTAAAATGATCAAATCTACTGTAAAGATGCTGTGTGACTGTTTATACATCTTTATACATACCACAACAAGTTGTTCCTCTTTGGCTGTCAGACTAGATACTGATGCTACTGGTCTCAGACCTTTAGGTTTTTCATCTTTAAAAGAAATTTTGATGTAATAAGATTTTTACAGTGGAAAAGTATTTGTGTAAATTAGTGAGGGCATTTTTATGAAATTAACGTTTCCAGAATAATCTTCATTACGAAAAGACAGACAAACTTACCATCAAAATTTACTTCAGTACATTCATTCTCTAGAGTGCAGTTGAAACATTTTCCATTTGTTGGGGAAGGAACAAAAATTCTAAAACGTGATAAGACAATTTAAAAAAAAATAGATCAATAAATGTTCTTTACGACGATCTCTCTTTCTCTCTTTTGAATTCTACAAAAAAAAATGCCTCTCATAAATGACCAACCCATCTGTTGATTGAATAGCATTTTGCCCAAAGAGTGGATCATCATTTGTAAAATGCTTCACGGGAGAATGTTGAATGTTGAACCCGGTCACACTGTATATCACTGTAACATAAATAATTCAGGCCACATAATTTCACATCACAGGGACAAAGTAATAGGATTAATTTTTTTAATAATGTTGTTTACTTTTGCCCATATATTTTCAGATTCAAATAAATAAGAGATTAAAACATGCCCAAACTCAAATAAACTTTATAAAATCATTAAAAACATTAATTGTAAATAATGTAAATAAATACATTCCAATCATAAATAGCAGTCCTCTGTACATTTTGTGAATTTGATAGACTCCACACCAAAAAAACATATCGGCACATATGAGACAGAAAGCAGCTCGTTGTGGTCTTGAAAAAGTAGAACATCACACAGCTGCTGCTGACTGTTAAAACCGCCCCCTCCACACACTTCAGACACAGCACTTTTTCTCTACAATGAAGCTGAATTTAAAATTATTAGCTTATTATACAACATTTTTTTATTATTTTGTTGTTAAAACTGTAAAACCATTGAAATAATGTTAAGTATATCCTACACATTGAAAAATTACTCTGGAGGGTTGTAAATACAACCCATGCAAATCAGTTAGATTTTACTTAAAGCTGCAGTCCGAAATCAATATTTGAGCAAGTACATTACCAGCCAGTGTTCGAAACTATCGCCTTACTTTAGCCCGATTCACAACGGTTAGTTTATAATAATGTCTTCTAATTTGAGTGGTAGGGGTAGGTTTTCACACTAAAGGTATATTTCTGGCACTTGTTACAAAACATTATAGTTTAATATAATATACTGAAATGTTATGTTTGCTATAGTTAATAATGTGTATAATATGTCTACTATATTAAAATATAATGTAATTATTTGTTAACAACAGTTCTGTTAGGTACAACGAGGCTGGATTCAGGTGCGGGTTCAACAGGTGCTTTATTGTGCAAAGATTATCACCGCGGGCAGTAAGCGCCTTCGCGGACAGTTCGTAGCTAATGAGATGACCAGAACCAGGTGTGAAACAAGGAGGGCGGGGACAACGTTCATGCTGACATGCTCACGTGGCGAGCTGTCAAAACAAGTCACGCACAACACACAAACACAGAGACAACAAGAGACAGGTGATCAGACCCGAGACCCAACAGTACCCCCCCTCCCAGGAGCGCCACCAGGCGCCCCAGGAGGAGGCCCACCTTGTCGCCGACGGAAGTCCTCGATCAACGAACGGTCCAAAATGTCCCGGGACGGCACCCAGGATCTCTCCTCTGGACCATAACCCTCCCAGTTAGACCGCGGAGTCCCAGGGTAGGCGGATGCCGGAGGTAGCCCACGGTTCCTGAACGCACAGAGAGGTGCGGGACACATAAACAGACTGCTACGAGCACTGGAGCCTGGACGAGACAAGACAGAACTGGTGAGCGATAATACACGGACAGTCAGAGCAAAGGAATAATCACAACAAACTGACAACATACAGAGAAACACGAGGAGCTATAAGGGGAAGCTAATGAGATGACCAGAACCAGGTGTGAAACAAGGAGGGCGGGGACAACGATCATGCTGACATGCTCACGTGGCGAGCTGTCAAAACAAGTCACGCACAACACACAAACACAGAGACAACAAGAGACAGGTGATCAGACCCGAGACCCGACAAGTTCATTGCAAATAACTTTTATTCACAGGCTATCTAGCTACCCAACAATTCAAACTGTAATTTAATTAGAGGAAGAGGAGAATTAAAAGTTTTGTAAACTTTCAAAAAGATCCATTTTGAAATGATTTCTTATTTGCACATGCACAGTTTCTGGGTCTCTGGGAGTGCTTAGAGAAAACTCTGTGGTTAGCTAGTTTCAAAGCTATCACATGCTTTGTGTGGTCCTGCAAATAAATGAATTTTAAAAAAATCACTTGAGAAAGGCAACTTAGCTTTAACTGGGGCAGGGGAGATGTGTTTGAGACTGTTGTGACCACATTCCAACCACAGTTTGACCAAATACATTTGCATGCCTTTGTTTGTGTTTTTGTATATGTGTATATGTGTTTAAGTTTTATTAATTGATTCATTCTTTCTTTAATTTCTATCTTTCTAATGGGATAGTACACCCCAAAATGAAATTCTGTCATAATTTTCTCACTCTCATGTTGTTCCAAACCTATATGACTTTATTTATTCTGTGGAACATTAAAAGAAGATATCTTGAAGAACGCTGCCTATCACTGTATCAACACACATTTCTATCACCAAATTAAAACAAAACAAAACATTGAGACACTTTTTTAAACAGACGCTTTTTGCGTTCCAGAAGAAACAGACTCATACAGGTTTGGAACAACAGGAAGGTGAATGCTATAACTACAGGTCTTTTGCAGGATTACGATTTGATTGTAGAAATCACACCTAGACTGCATAATAGAGCACGAAGAGCAGTGTGTGTGTGTGTGTGTATGCGCTTTTACAGGAAATAGCGCGTGACTATTTGTGTGACTATTTGACTTCTTTGAATTAGGCTTCTATTTCTTGGTGATTGGCACTGACATTTTTGCTTGACAAATATGGTGTACATTTCACAGCTTTGGATATTTTTTGGTGCTCTGGTGTCTTCAAACAGTAAGTTATAGATATAAATATGTCTTCTGTCTCAATACCTGTGAGAGATTGGATCAGTAAAATTTTTGATACTGTTCTTCTGTTTAGCTCTGGACCGCTGGCATACAAGATGCACAGATGTTACCATCAGAGCCTCTCTGAGATCTGAAGTCTCTCTCCCATGTCACTTTAAAATAAGCCATTACAATAAAACAGAGAAAATAAAATGGAGCCACCATTCTAGTCTTGTAACGATCACAAACAATGGCATTATCTACTTCGATAATCCTAGTGAAGGGCGAGTGAGCTCTTTCCCTAATCTGGCAAGAGGAGGAAACTTTTCCATCCTCATCCATGATCTGCAGACTTCAGACATCGGCACCTACTTTTGTGAACTGAACAGTGAATGCTGGAGGGTGAAGATCATGGAATTGCCAAGTAAGATTAGTTCTTTCAAATTTAGCAGGAATCATATAATGGCCTATATTTTATTTGAGACAAATAATAAAGTAAGACAAAATTAGCTGGATGATTTTACATGTTTTTACAACATCATTTGTCTTTTTCAGAAACTGAACAGCTGAACTCTAATCGCAACTCCTGGATATTCTTTTTTGCTGGAGCTGGAATTTTCACTCTTCTATTTATTATATTCAATCGCACTGGTAAGCAGTACTTTTCATTCAATATCCACAGCAAAATTCCATGAACCAGTATTAGTCAAATAATAAATCCTCCTGTTTATTTGTTTGTAAAACAATATTCAGGCTTACAAAACCGTTTGCAGTCCTCGACAGAAAAATGCATGAGATCATCCAAATCTAACTCTACGAATGAAGAACACCATGAAGGTAACTTCGGTAAAACATGATTTTTCAAGATTTTAAGATTTATTTATGTTTTTTAAATTCTGAATAAAGTATAAACAGGTTTATTATTGGCATTTAATGGCAGCTGATATTACATTTATGTATTTATATTTACATGCGGTGATTACAAAACCTAAGTAAATGCATATTTAATTTAATTTAATTAGAATGCTGCTGATTGTTTGAAAGCTTATAAAACAGTCTGAAATTCCTGCTAATAGGTTATTTATATTATATGATATCAAAATATAACATACACTCTTAAAAACTAAGTTTCTAAGAGTGTTTTTTACAGTGAATATTTCAGTGAACAGATCTTAAAAGAACCATTTTTTTTCTTAAGTTTTAAAAATCTAAAGAAACATTTTCCACTATAAAGGTGGAATTGACATTGGATGTTAAAGGTTCTTCATGGAACCAGAGATGTCAATAAAGAAACATTTTATTTTTTGTGTAATATGTAATGTCAACAAATATATAATGTTGTGCTATAAATATTTTGCTTTTCAAGAACATGGTTCTTCAAGTCAAACATCTAATATCCAACAGCGAGGTGATTCACCATTTCTATTTCCATTATACATATATTATAAAATAAGATATATGTTTAGTATGACAATAAACTAAGCTCAAATAATAAAATTAGCAAACTAATACTTTTTTTTTTTAAATCAGCATTCAGAAATCCAGATGCAAATGATTTTACAACATCTACAGTATACTATGGTAAGACACAATTTGTATGTGGATGTTTGGAAAATGTGTTTTTAATTATAAGATTGAGAATATCTATAATAACAAAAGAATAACAAAATATCTGTTTGATATGTTTTAGTCATCCAGGCATAATACTTCAATTTAGAAGGTGCCGGCAAGAGGGGACAATAAAAATCATGATTTCCTATTTCAGATTATAAATCTGTTATTTTGTCTGTCAGTAAATACTGTTGTCCTTTCATGTGGTTCATGTGTTTTGAAATGTTTTTCTATTACCATTCATTGATTTTTTTGTGTTTAAAATGGGTTGATTCTCAGATAACTGAATACTTTTGTAAATCACATGTAAATTTATGTTAAAATCTTCATTGTACATTGATTGTAATGAACTTTTCCTTGGAAATTCTTTGTCATTATTTGTAATATTGTGCACAAATGATTTGAATACAAATAAACAAAAAAAAGAGTATTACGTTGAGTAATATTGACTATCTATCTCTTAATCATCCTCGTCTACCATTTCTGAAAAAGGTAATTTTTTATTCTGTAGGCTATTTGAAGTCGAAGGGAGCTGTGAAAAATCTGTTTTGGAATGACATAGCCAAATTTATTTATATATATATATATATATAATTAAAAAAAATTTTTTTTTATAAAGATCATTTTTCTCCATTATCTGCCTTACTTCAGTAAGTAGGCACAAGCAAGGGTGTAACTTTGGTTTGAGAAGTGGGGAGGACACCCCCGAGGAATCCCATTTCCTGCATTTACATACATTTAGGGACTATGGTGATACAAAATCCAGGAAGTAATTAAGTTGATTATAATGATAAATTCTGCCAAAATGAATAGTAGGAAAATGCTGACAGAAAATGCGTGGTTTAATGT